CAGTTTCATCGCGTCCAAAGTCGTCTGCATCTTCAGTTACTTCCATTATTCCAAAAAAAAAAACACAAAAAGTTTCGAAACTGAACGCAATTCAGCGTCACATACTTTAATGAAATATTTATTAGATGACAAGGTAAATAAAGAAGTAGATGTGATAGATACATTTTTTAAGAGCATTGTGGTATCAGTAAAAAAGTTTTCTGAATATAACCAAGCGGTTATAAAAAGCAAAATAACCCAGTTTCTGAAATGGAGTTAAAAGAAATCGCCGATAAACAAAGCTATTATAGTTATGGTAACCCTTACATTCCCCAAAGACAAGATCACATGCCTCGAGGTGATAACACTCTGAATAATATTAGCCACGAAAATCAGTAAATGTCGACAACAACTGGTGCTTCAAATACTGATGATTTTAATATTTCAAACTTAGAAGAAAATGGCGCTTCAAACACTGTTGATTTTAATATTTCAAAAATCTATAATTTATACAATTTAATTTGCCTTACTAAGTATTTCCAGGTCCGTTAGCGCCACTTAAAAATTACCTTTTTACCACTCAACGTTTGGGTTCGAACTAATTTGGTGCCAACGAGGACATCCAGATGTCGGCGAGCCGTAAACGCGGTGTCGCCTAGCCGTAGCCGAGTTGACGTATAGGAGCCGCTGCTACGCTTTGGTTACATGCATACGTTAGGTTGACGCCTGATTGACGGCGAGGCGAAAGGTGACGGTGACGATCCCTTTCCGATTTGATATGTGTGCTGTGACCTTAATAGTCCATTCGCGTTAAAAAAATAGTGAGTCATCGTTCTCCGCCAGCCTGGCCACGCCCGCTAGCCAATTAAAATGCTTGAAATTAGAAAATCGAGTTCACAGTGACCAGTTGAAATCTGACCTTCGAACAAAACGGTTGTGTATTTTGCGTGACTCGATCAACAATGAAAATGAATACAACTGTGGAGAGCATAGTCATAAAAACAGCAAGTGTATGCGGTGTGTCCGAAAATACTGTTTATAAAATTATTAAGAACAAAAGGATACTAACACATTAAAATCATCCGTGAAAAAAAGAGCTCGACTATCCACAGTCGATAAATTAGATGAACTAGACAAATGTGCACTAAGAAGAAAAGTTCACTCAAAATATTTAAATAACGACTACCCGACATTGGACAAAATTATGAGAATTTGCGAAGCTGACAAAGATATTCCTGTTTTCAAACGTACTACACTTCATAAAATATTGCAAGAGCTTGGTTTCGATTACAATAAACTGGATAATAGAACATTGTTAGTCGAAAGGGAAGATATTGTTTTATGGAGGCGTAAATATCTTAGGCTAATTAAAGAATACAAAGACGCTAATAAGACGCTGCCGCCTTACCATTGCAAACTTAACCCAATTGAATTAGTGAGGGCTAAAAATAAAAAATTATGTTGGTGCCAATATAATTTTTTATTTACTCCACGTTCAAAATGAGTGACGTAAAAAAATTATTATATGACGCAATAGCAATAACAGACGCTAATCGTTGGAAGAAGTGCTGCGACCACGTGATACGAGAAGAAAATACCATGTGGTATTTGGATGACGTCGTGGAACACGCAGAACAAAATTCTTTCATAATAAATGTAACTGAAGAATCTAGCGATACTGATTAGTGATTTAAGTAATTTTAAGGCAATTTTTTTTCCATTAAAAATAATTAAATGTTTAAAAATAAAGTTTGTACTTTTACTCCACTGTGAATACACCCTTATCCTGTAGTTGCACAGATGACTCACTATTTTCTTAACGCGAATGGACTATAGTGAGCAAAACCAGCATATCTTGAATGTTGTACAGAACTGGATTCACCCACGTAAGGTAATTACACAGCTGTTAATTTATATTTAAAAAAACACAATGTGATAATTATGCAGTCTGTTTAACAAACATTATATGTTTTTTCTAGAGCCGACCCTCTGTCGTCATCTGCCATGGATGCTTTTTAGCAGCTGAAGTTGCTGCACGTTCAGATACTGATTTATTGCATGACCGGGCTCCACCGGCTGCAAGAATATTATTGCCAAATTATATTAGATGTCCCGATACACATTCTCGCTGTATATTTCCACGATGTAACAGCATGTTCCAGCAGTTAGTGCCATAAAGCATTAGAGTAAGGCTTTTTAATGATCACAATTATTATATACCACCGAATTGCAGAATTTGCCAATTTCACTTGGAGAGCCATTTGTGGTGGCAAACTTTGTTCCACACCATTTGGGTCTGGACCACATTACCAGAAGAGAAGTTGCTGAAAGGAATTTATACATTCCAAATTCATTATTTGGAAATCCAGGAAGTAGCCTAGAAGATAGGAAAGCTATCATTATTATGGATGGCACAAATGTTTATGTGCAGAAAAGCACCCATTTTAAATATCAGAATAAACTTATTCTCTTCATAAATATAGGAATTTAGTCAAACCATTCAGTATGTTGTGATGGCCATATAATTGACGTACTGGGCCCGTACCCTGCCACAAAATCAGATGCTGATATCATAAAAGAAGAGTTCAGCGATGCTTCCTACCCTCTCCAGCGTTATTTTAAAGAAGGTGATGTTTTCATTTTGGACAGGGGATTTCGAGACGGCATACAGTTGTTAAATAATTTAAATTATTCAGTGCATTACCCTCTGTTAATTGAACAGGGTGAATCTCAGATGACAACAGTAAATGCAAATGAGTCCCGAAAAGTAACATTATGTCATTGGGTTTGGGCTGTTAATGGTAATTAATGGGCGTTTTAAGAGAGATTATAAATTGCTGCGACAAGAATATTGTAAAAAAGGTTCTTTGAATTTGATGAAAGATTTTGAGGTGGCAGCAGCGTTCATAAACAGATTTCATCCTGTTTTGGTCGACAGAGAGGATGTTCGAGAATTAGTTTCAATTATACAAGAAAAAATGTTTACAAATAACACCTTAGCAGATTTTGTGGAACAAAATAATCTAAACAGGAAACGGGCTCAGTTTCACAGTTTAACTGTACAAAGAAATAATATAATAGAATTCCCACAAATAGGGTACAGTGATTTTATTTTAATACCTTTGGTTATCTACCAAATCAAACAGGCCCGATCATACTATGGCGAACATGTGAGACCAACTATGGCGAGATGGTTCCTATATTATTGAAGTGTGCAGGGAGGTTGACGAAGAGTTACCAGAGTCTCTTGAAATGAGTAATAATGATAACATATGGTTGTTACAAGGTAAGACTCGTAGCCGGCACATTAGCCAAAAAGTCTATTTTATATATATTATAATAGATAATAACCAAAGTGGTAGATATGCAATGTAGCAATACTGTTGCAATTGTATTGTAGGGCGCACAACTATCGGTTGCTGCGCCCATGTAATGACGTTAATATGGTACCAGGGCTGGGCAAGGCACCAAAATTCTATCGTCAAACACTCTGCACTGTTTTTGGACGATATATTAATTGATAATATTGATGATGCTGAATAGTTTGGGAAATAATTATTATTGAATAAAAGCTATAAACCAATAAACATTTGTTTTATTTAAGTACCCAATATTAGAAAATTATCTAGGTAGGACTGCCTTATTTGTCCCGAGGCTGAAATATGTTGAAATATCTAGGATCTGCTCCCGGGTTCGATTTCCGGTTCATAACATAATATAGTCTCACGCCTATATCCCCGAAGAGGTAGGCAGAGATGTATTACTACACCCACATTTCGCCAACTATGTTCTTAGGTTCTACGTCTATTATGTGTCTATTGCCGTTACCGAGCACATTTTCCAGATTCCGTGCTGCTACTGAGTATTTCTACTGAGGGCAGAAATCCAATAACACTACCCGACCCGCAAATCGAACCCGGGTCCTCTCGATCGCACGCGTGAACTTATGCCACGGGACCGACGAGGTAGTCTATTCTCGGTTCGAGCAGTGTTATTGCACTTTTCTGTTTTGCAGCATGGAGTATAGACATGCTCCCGATACAGCAAGAGTCGCCATCTATTACGTAGAACAAAAACATAACCCGCGAAATGTGGGTGCATAAATGCACCTCGGCCTATCCTTTCACGGATACGGCGTGCAACTACATAGTTTTACTACCTTTTTTTTAAAGTCGAGGAAATTACCTATTTATATACATATATATGTAAGTATATAGTGTAAAAATATTAATATTCGATTGTTTTTAGGTACCAAAGATTGTAAAATTTAGATAGGTTTATAGGATTAAAAATAAATTACGAATTCACTACACTCCGCTAGAAAGGGGACTGTTATTATATATCATATATCTAGAATCTACCAATATTATGCCAGCTTGTAATGGATAGGTACATAAACTAAAACTATGTTATAACCGATTTAAAAATTATCTACCCAGAAAAAGCTATGTTGCTGGCATGCAGACTTTTGTAAATTAATTTCGTAAGCTTATGGCTTACGAAATTAATCTGATATCGATAGTGAAGTTTACTAAGTGTTTGTTATGAGATCTCGATAACAACCAGTAACCACAAACCTGGAATCTAAGCTCCGAAACTGTTTTTAAATCAAGCTAAGTAAGTACCTACAGAACCTAGCTATATTTAAAGCAAAGTAGACATACATTTCCCTACAAAAAGCAAGTAAAACAAACATTAAAAAGAATTTAACCGCGCGCTACAATTGTTAAAATTATAACCTCAAATCCAAAATATATTTTTTGATTTATACATTTCTTAGAAGTGTCCGTTACTTAAACATGTATTTAGACGTAAATACAGATACTTAAGAACACGAAAAGTGATGATAGTACATGCTTAGAGGTTCTTAAGCAAAAAATGTATGGAGCTGAACATTGTCTTTTTGTGGTTATTCTCATATTAAAGTTTGACTGAAAGAACCCACGAATCATTACAGACCGTGGCGTGGCATTCACTAGCAATGAGTTTAGAGATTACTGTGCAGACGAGAACATAGAAAATTTGAAAATTACAACAGGTAATTAAAGTACGATGTACCTGGCCGTTTTATCGAGGTACACATGATAAAACGGCCAGGTACATCGCACTTTAATATCAGTACACCTTAGTGAGGTCTACGAGTTATTAAAGCAGGAAGGAACAGGTAGCTTCAACGAAGGTAGAGAAGAGCTTCGTCGTAAAGCAAAAGAAAACATATTGAAAATTCTATATGAAAAATGCTCAATATTACAATAGAAACCGGAAACCAAGCCCCAAATATAATATAGGAGAATTAATTGCAATTAAACGCACTCAATTTGGTAGCAGGATGAAATTGAAATCTAAGTTTCTGGGACCTTATAGGATCATAAAAGTTAACAGAAATTATAGATATGACGTAGAGGAAGAAAGCAATGATAAAGAATGCCCTTATAAAACAGACTCCAGCCGACCTCATGAAAAAATGGCCAAATTAAAATTAATAGGTGTGTCTGTTTGTTCTTTTTATTTAACTTTTTTTATGTTTCAGGTGCTGTATAAAATGATGGATGTGTGTGTAAAAGTGAGAGTATGATCAGACGTTAGTTAAATTCCAATTATTGTAAGTCATATTTATGAGTTATTGTAGGCATGACTTTATGACAGCCATGATTTCAGGACGGCCGAGTGTGTGACGTCAATGCATGATGATGGGTGTGAAGTTGGAAATTAATTATACGAAGTGTATCTTTTTCATATTCACCATCGATTCGCCAGCCTTGCTACAATTGTTGCGACAGTCTGTGCCCAAGGGCCATATAATGTGCAATGTATCAAATTATAATGCTTGAAAAACATGCCAATTCCTTAAGAAGAGGAGAACAATCAAAACAATATTTTTATTGTTAATGATCAAGAAATTATATCTTTGTATGATCCATCACATCTCATCAAAGGTATTACTAGTACTACTCGTAGAAACAATTTAATATCAAAAGATTTAAAATAGGACAAGAAGACTGCGAATTTGGTCACATATATTAAAACTTCACAATGAGAACCCTGGTTACAGAATAAACCAATTTCCATTGTATTCTTAACAAAATTCCAAGGCAAGGGTTAAAGGTTAAGGTTGAAAATGCCACACAATTTTCGAGTACGATTTTTGCAACTAGTATGGGTATCTTGCAGGTGAGCATAAACACAATTTATATTACGAATATCTAAATAGTAGAGAAATAAAGTTGCTAAACTATATTCTCAAGTAACAGGGTCGACAATTTTAAGCTATCCAAATATGCTATAAAGACTTCACATGGACCACTTTCTATAATTTACACTAATAAGTTTTAATTATTTGTTTTTTTTTCTCATATTTAAAGCAAAATATTCCATTTTGAATTGATAACTAATAAAATATAGAAAATTATATAATTTTATGTAAGTAAATTTTCTTTTTTAACCTTCAAAATTAAATTATTATGTATTTGTTTGGTTTTTAAGTATAGTAATAAATATTTTAATTCAATTCATTCATTTGAATTCTTGGCTATTTTTATATGTTAGTATTGTGTACTTTATTGATTAAATTATACGACAGACTTGTTAATTAATTATTTTACTAATGTAACTTATTGTAGTGCAGAGCAGTGTTGCCAAAGATAATATAACATAACAGTAACGTGAAGCTCTAACATATAGTTACTTTTTTAAATAAAGGTATTTTTTTACCTTCAGAGTGCAAGGATTCGGCAGACATCATAATGTTTTTTGATCAGTTGTTTGACTCCGTAAATAGAAGTTTTGACAAAAAACTAAATGGGAAGTCACTCTTAGGACCTGTAACCCCCATTTCCATACATCACGAAGTTTGGGAAGAATCATTAAGAATGCTGCGAAATATGCAATAAGTAAGGCCTAAACCAAAGAAATAAGAATATGTGCCAACATTAAAAAACGGGGTATAAGTAGAAGGCATACAATTATTAATTAAGAAAATTCATATCAAATTTGGAGTGAATTCAATATCAATATCACTTGAATGAAGACCCAATCGAAAATTATTTGGATCTATTAGGTGCCCCGTATGTCGTAATATAAAACCATCGACATTATTAATAAATAGCCTCTCCAGTGTTCATGACCCTAGCATGAGCTAACTGTGAAAGAGAAAATTGCTATATAACTAAATTTATTATCAACGAATTAGATTGCAAAGAACAAGATACTTGTAAAATCGACAACATTCCTTACATAACTGTTACACCTCTTGAAAAATATTCTCGATAAATTGGGGGGTTACAGTATGTATGTGGATATTTTGTCATAAATGCAAAAATATATATTTTCACGGTGTGCGAACATTGTAATAAAAAACTAATAAATGAAGAAGAGGCAGAATACATCAAAAATAGAGAATATTCAAATAAAAAATGGCTTTGCAGTCCAAGTTTATTATTTGTAATTGCTCTATTAAATTGTGTATCAAATCTGCAGGATTTCAATTACGCATTAGGGGACCCTGCGGCTGGTTTTAACAGGGGTAAATACTAACAGCGTAATTACATAAAACCTATTCGACTTACCACGCTAATTCCAACGCACTTTGTGCCTATGAATACGCGCGAATGTGTCTCGACCTGTCAGTTGCCGACCGAGCGTCACGGGAGCAGGTTGTGTCAAGGGCCCCATATACGGTACGATTTGTCTGTACGATCCGTCGCTTCAAACCGATCGAAACGACGAATCGATAGTATATATCAAGATCGTTAACGATTTACTTCATCGTAGACGACATCGGAATTCGCAACAAAAACCCATGCAATCATGAATATCGTAACGATGAATCGACAGTGTGTGGCTCTTTACGATCAACGATTCGATTTTGTCTCACTCTGACGCCGGTCGCCGCACGCACCGCACGCCTTGGCTAACGCGTTACGTACTCTCACCTACCTATACTCGATAAACGAAACAAACAAAATGGCTACATGGAGTAATGATGATTTGATTGAATTTATTGAATTATTTAGAGAGCAAGAGCCTTTATGGAAAACAAAACATAAAGATTATCATAACAATGTAAAGAGGACAGCGTGTTATGAAGTACTTTTGGAAAAAATGAGAAAAATTGACAGTACTGCAGATTTAAATAAAGTAAAAAAGAAGATTAATAACTTAAGAACAGTGTTTCCGAAAGAGTTGAAGAAACAGATTGACTCTCTGGTGTCCGGAAGCAGTGCCGATGAGGCTTATACGCCTAAACTAACTTATTTTAATAACTTAATATTTTTAAAAGACCAGGAAATACCGCATGAGGGAATGAGTTCTACGAGTTCGGTGAGTACAAGTTTTTTATTAAAATTTCAAGTTAAACTAAGCTTTTTCTATTCTATATATAATTTTTCCGCCACGGAACTGCACCGATTCCATTAAAATAGTCTACGAATATGTTTCTACTATCAGTTGCAGACTGAAAACCGGATCCTCTTCTTCTCTCGAGACCAAACAAGTTACTTTGTAGACCTTCTTGAATCTCTCCATTTTCATAGGTTTCTCTATCAAAGCAATTTTGCGGTGAGTAGGTATCTGGATTTTCACGGCGTAAAAAGTTGTGTAGAGCACAACAAGCCATTACTACTGGAGCAATATTATCCAAGTCCAAGTTGATTTCATTACTCAGTATTCCAAACCGTGCAACTAAAATTCCGAATACATTTTCAATTATCCGTCTTGCTCGGGATAAACGGTAATTAAAAATTCTTCTTGTTTCATTGAGCTGTGACTTATTAAATGGTTTTAAAAAATCGTTCCTAAAAGCAAAAGCTTCGTCTCCAATAAATACATAAGGAAGCGTTATTCCATTCACCGAACCTGTTTGTTTCAAACAAATAAATGATCGATCGTTACGACCAATCGTTTCGTGTATGAGCGTCATTTTTTATGCGATCAATCGTCACGATTTTCATCAGATCGGTCGTACAGACGAATCGTACCGTATATGGGGCCCTTCAGACGCCTCTAATTTTACAGGTAAATGAACTTTTCTACGTGTTTAATTTTTTGCATTACTCTTTAAATATATATCGTAGAAAATTGGTTTTGGTATTGCATAAATCCGTATTTATTGTATTTTTCATTAATGTTAAAGTTTTAATCGAGAACATAACCGGTAAAAAAAAAAACAGTAACTTTGTGCAAAACGGGGTCGTGAGGTTGGTTTTAAGAAAATGAACGGGGTAGGTTCTAAAGCGTTAATATTTGCCCCGCACACGGGGCAGGTTTTAACAGTTGAAAAAATTTAAACGTTTTAAAAAGCAAAATAATTGAGGAGGTAAAACAAGCTTCGGCTTTTTCGGTTTTGGCTGATGAGACTGCTGATATTAGTGGCACCGAGCAATTATCGATTGGTGTTCATTATCCACGTTGTGATAAAGACGATAAAAAACCAATAATTTGTGGAGAATTTCTCGGATATGTACCATTACAAGAACTGACTGCAAACGCCATTTCGGAAACTATTATTCACTTCCTGCAAGATTGCAATTTTGATTTAAATAAACTTGTTGGCCAGGGATACAACAGGTGTGCTGCAATGGCAGGTCACATAGGTGGTGTTCAGAAAATTATTAATGATAAATATCCTTCAGCTCTATTTTTCCACTGTGCAAGCCATATACTAAATCTTGTCATTAATGATCAGAATACTGTCAGTGAAGTGAGAAATACTGCAGGGACTACAAAATTATAACTTTTTTTTAGAGAGAGTACGTTGCGGCGGAAAAAAAAATCCAAATATACCTCTATTTTGTGAGACGCGTTGGACAGCAAAATACAAAAGTATCAGAAAATTTTCTGAAAACTTTCTGACTATTGTACAAGTCTTAAAAGAACTTTCGCTGGATGCACTCAACTCTAAGACAAAAACCAATTCGTATCAGCTCTACACAACTGCAACTGCTCCAACATACATTATGAAACTTTTAGTAATTTCTGCCTACTCTGCCAAACTTGAACCCCTGTGCAATCAATTACAAAAAGTAAATATAAATATACAATCAGTTTACGATCACGTAAATAAATTAATTGATGTGCTTCAATCTCACCGCGATAATGCCTCTACGCAATTTGCGGTCATTTGCGACTGAGCTCAAAAGATTTGTGAAAAATTGGATGTGGAATTCAAGCGCCCTCGATCAGTGGCAAAACAAACTTACAGATCAAATCGACCATCCGAAAATGTGGAAGAATTTTTAGAGTATCTATATTCATCCCATACTTAGATTCTATTATTTTTTCACTAAAAGATCGATTTTCTTCAACTCACAAGCAAGCATTTTCGCTTATAGAGCTTCATCCAGAAGATATGAAAAAGTTAAATAAATCAAAATTTTCAGCAATAGTAGAAGATATACAGAATTTTTATGGATGTTTTCTACATAATTTTGTTGCTGAAGCTACCACATGGTACGAGATGATAAGGATAAATGAAGCTAATGACGTGGGCTTAAATGAATCTGTTGTTGAATGCGCAGATGAAATTGCGCAAGCCACTCCGTTTTACCCAGCAGTACGTGAGGCAATCAAAATTGGTTTAACTGTTCCATCAACAACATGTAGTAAGGTTTGTTGGGGTAAGGCCGGAAAGGGGGTAAGACCGTATTCATCAAAATTTCTCCAAATACGACCGTATTTATTAGTGATGGCAACAATGTGTACAACGCCATTTTGTTTTGCATTAACCTTCAGTACCCTTCTGCGGCCCCGACGAATAGAACGTGTACTATGGTGGATTTTAAAAAACAAGGTAATTTTTGTACTTTTTTCTTTTATCCGATCTTTCCCTTTAACTTTTATTTCAGTGTTTTTGCAAAAATACAGCTTGTTTTGTTATTATTTCGTCTGAATACTAGGTTTTTAGTAATAATAGCTACATATATCTGATTAGAACACGTCTAGGCTTGCTATTAACTAATATCCGGTGTTACCCCTCACGTGTAAAGATCGGACGAAATCAACCGGTCTTCACTAGAAACAGCGTTTGTCAAACTTCAAGTTCGTGAATATTTCTAATTATAAATTAATTAATGACGACCTCCGTAGCCGAGTGGTTCGCACGCCGGTTTTCAAGGTGTCGCCATCTTTGAGGTCGCGGGTTCGATTCCCGGTCGGGTCAATGTAGAAAGAAAAACTTTTCTATGTTGTCTCGGGTCTGGGTTGTGATACCTTCGTTGTCTCAGACACTTCATAACACGGGGGCTTTGACTACTTATCTTGGAATCTGAACAATGTATGTGATGTTGTGTTGTTATATTTATTTATTTTCCCTCGTTTCATGGGCGGAAAACAGACTGGATATTAATATAATTACATCAGAGTGTAAAAATTGTATGGTAAGACATTGGTTATATTCGGTAGTCATGTGAAAGGTGCTCGAAATTGTTTTTCTTTTGTACTTTTTTTTACGGCAAATAGCACGCCAGGTTAACACAAAAAAATCAAATTTCTTCTTTATAGTTATTAAGAAGGTTGAAAATCGATTGGGAAAAATCATTTACAACAGCAATTATTGAAAAGCAATTAAACAAATGACTTGCTGTTATTTCATTTCTCTTAATAAATATTCATATTTAGAATGAGCTTGAAATAAAGTATTTGCTATTACACTTTTAGTTTACTTTGTATCTCTGTGACAGGTAGGTTCGTAGGTCTCTATAAATTTAATTCAGAAGAACCCACAAACAATACTTCCGATCTTTTTTTGTCTAGAAGGCCTAAGCTGTTTTATTATCTATCTAGCACACACTTTAGGAGGTACAGAAAATTAACTACTGTTATTTGACAAATTGGACTGATAACTTGTATCTAATGGTAATCCATTCAAACTTGTAAGTTATAATATACATAGTTAGTTAATATTGTAATTTATATAAATATTTACTTACTTGTAGATGCCGAGAAATTACATCAGGAAAACATTGCGCGCTACTTCATACTCACAACAAGACTTGGAAACTGCTCTACAAAAAATAAAAGATAAAGAACTTACGTACGCTGCTGCTTCACGAGAGTACTGTATTCCAACCTCCACGCTCAGTGACAGAGTCCTAAAAAAAACAGGTATCATCAGCAATACACTCGGCAGAGCAACTGCAATCCCAAAAGAACACGAAAATAGGCTCGCCAACTGTCTTCGAGTCCTCGAAAAATGGGGCTGGGGATTGTCTAAAGAGGAAATTTTAGACATCACTCAAGAGTTTATCATTAAAAATAAATTCAATACCCCTTTTAACAATGGGAGGCCGGGATCGGACTGGTTCATTGCGTTCCGCCGGAGACACAATTTATCAATTAAAAAACCACAGCCTGTAGAGTATCTCAGGAAAAAATGGACCGATCCTTTCGTTATTAACGAGTATTTCAACCTTTTAGAGAAGACACTTCAAGAGTTAAATCTTACGAATGATCCGAAGCGTATATGGAACTTAGACGAAACGTCTGTTTGTCTGGACCCCACGAAGACAAAAGTTGTAGGTGCGAAAGGTGCACCTTGCACGCGAACGACTTACGGTAGCGCCAAAGAAAATATAACAGTATTGACCACAGTAAATGCAGCAGGTGAAAAGTTAGACCCTTTAATTGTGTACAAAGGAAAATACATGTATCAGCAGTGGATGGTAGAAAAAACGGACTACGATTTTCAGCTAACGTATGCTTCAAGTAAGCGGGGGTGGATGGAGAGCGAAATTTTCTATAACTACATGTTAAAAGTTATTATTCCCAATTTGGGACACGAAAGACCTGTCTTGCTTCTGTATGATGGACATGCTAGTCATGTTGATGACAGAGTAGTGGCATTGGCAGTTGAAAACAACATCACTATACTGAAGCTACCACCACATACTTCCCACCTTTTGCAACCGCTTGACTTGGCCGTGTTCAAGTCATTTAAAAACTCCTGGGATAAAAACCTTGTGAAATGGCAGCGGCAAAACGTTGGCGTCAAATTGCGAAAACAATATTTTGCCAAAATGTTTGCGGAAGCATGGCAACAAACAAAGGTTGAAGTTATAAAAAATGGTTTTAGGAAAGGTGGCATTTACCCATTTAATGCTTCCGTAATACCAAAATAGAAATTCGACCCAAACGCTTACAAGCGATGGCAAAATCACATATCTCAAGAGACTCTCAGACAACCTAAAGCCCTGAAGCAATTATGTTTAGATGCCATGAACAAGTCATTAATTCATAATGACAGTTCTCAATCCGTTCAAATTATTAATGAAGCCTATTCTGCAACCCAAAATTCATCCTCTCTGAATCATAAAAACCAAGCACAAATTTCCTTCGAAGAGATACTTTTAAAACAAGTTGCGCAACAACCTCAAAACACTAACAACAAGACTGCTATGAAATTAAAACGTGTTGCAAAAGGTGGAGAAGTGATCACAAAAACTTTCCTCGAAAAGCAGAGGCAAATAGAACAAAACAAGAAGACAGAGAAAGAAGCGCAGAAAATAAAACAGCAGATCATGAGAAAACAAACTCAATCCAAAAAACGCGGTATCGATTCTTCTAATCCTGGATTATCTGGAATTGAGAAAAAGGGTAATCTATAGACAGCTGAAAGCAGTTCACAAATTTTGACAGATCAGACAAATAGTAACCAAAATATTACAGCAAAAGGAAAAGGTATAGGAAAGAAAACTCGAATTGATATAGAAAGTCTGAAATCTATTTCTGGTGAAGACGATAAGAAGAACAAGGAAAATAAAGAAAGGAAGAAAAATAGTAAAATAGATTCACCAGAGTCTTTCGTTCAAAAGACGATCAAAAAAGGCAAGTCAGTAAAAAAGTGTAAATCACAAAAGGAAAAAAATGAGTTATTTGCTCAAGAAATAGCTACAAAGAAAAGAGTGACAAAACGGAAGAGAGTTTCTAGTATTGACACTACAGATGAAAGCGTTCAAATGAGCGTACACAGTGATTCCGATTCACTAGATTATTTAAGTGACCTAGAATTATTTGACTTTGATATATTTAACAAAACGCACCAAAAAGATATATCAGAAATAGGCGATAAAATAGAAGAAAGTATAGAAAAAGTTGAAGAAATACACCAAATGGAAAATGAAATCAACACCTCCCAAAAATACGATTTTATAGAAGGAAATCGAGAAAACCGTGAAATTGAAAATAAAAAAGTTACCTTATTATCTTCTGTTAAATTGACCCCTGAGAATATGGCTTTATACAAAGTACATGGATCTTTACAATTACAACCGATTGAAAAGGATATAAATCTGTTTACGAATACACCAAACAAGAAACTAAAGGAAGATAAAGATATAGAAACCATGTTAAATGATAATAAACCTAAAACTGACAGAAATTTGCATAATAAGGACTATACTCGTATAACTGAAATTAATACATACCAAATTGGAGATACAGTTCTAGTTAGGTATTTTAAAAAGGCTTGGAAATATTACACAGGTGTTATTGAGACTATTAATGATTCAAACCCAAAACTATACACAGTATCGTTTTATAAAAGCATTAGCAAAAACACAAACGTGTGTTTTGTTATTCCAAAAATTAAAGATCGAGATAGTGTACCTGAAATTAACATAGTCAAGGAAATAAGACTTCTACAAATACAAGAAAATCCAGCAAAGTATACTTTTATGGATGATGATGACGCAATTTACTTCTAAAAGTTTTAGATGACATCATTATCCCAGGATTTTCGTATATTTATAGAAGACTTTTTTATTATAATTCTCAGCTAGAAATTGAGAGCTTTTATAATTAACATAATTATAATTTTAAAAGCTCTCAATTTGATTTTAAGTGGTAGCATTAACCAAAACAAAATTGAAATGCTTATTTCAATAAAAGTTGATTTAGATATAAATTTCTTTCATTTTTTTAATTCTGAATTTCCTATAATTACTCTAATATTTCAATGAATTATATTAATAAATATCTATTTCCATGTCATTTACTCTAGCTTTAATCTGATGAATCCGATTTTTCCCTCTTGTCTGGATAATTCATCATTTGGAGAGACTAGTTTGAGAACCACTAAATGTATAAAAAATAATATCAGGGGTAAGATCGGATGAATATCAGTAAAAAAAAAAAGCTATTGGAACATTAACGCGCAAAGTTATTTAAATATATTTTTTTTATATATTTTAGAACGTTATAGACCGGATAAATTACTTTCATGTACCTTATTCGCAAAGCCAAAGAAGTGAGTTTAAAGGGACGTCCGATCTTACCCCCGAAGGATATTTTTTAACCATAGCCATAAAAAAGTAAATCTTATTTTCATATTCGTACAAAACAAAAACTGTTGAGTTTACAAGAACAAACAAAATATGAACTAAGTATCGTTTATTAAATTAACATTTGCACCACATTTTAGCGATTTATCGTAATCAGTTGCCGAAAAAATTTCGTTTTTTTCAACACCTTATCAATTGATCTAAAATCCATCCGCTCTTACCCCAATATACCTTATTGAACGTACATTTAGCACGTTACGACGTGTCAAGACGTGGAATCGCTCAACGATGGGAGACGCGAGGCTAAAGGGGGGTTTACACGGGTGACTAAAGCCGCACGATTTTTGCCGCGCGGCGTAAATCGACCATCTAAATGGCAATTCGGCTAAGTTGCAAGTGACTAAAGCCGCAAGCCCCAAAGTTGGGTAGCATCCGACTTTGGCCGCGCGGCAACCGGCCGCATGCGACTGGTGACTAAAATCGACCGTGTAAACGATCAGTTGCAGGCGATCGCCCGCCGCATGAAGGTGTTTCGCGCACGCACGTGTATTTATTTACTACAGCGTTTCTGTGTACATGTATCGTAACAACCATGAATAAAAATAACACCATACAGTTTTTGGAATGCTATGAAATGCATCCATGCTTATGGAACCCAAGAGAACAAGATTACAGGAACAATAATGTACGTTTAGCGGCTCTTAAATCTATTATTCAAGAAATGCGTTTGTCCATAACAGTTGAAGAGCTTAAATTGAAGATAAAAAATATACGAACCACGTATAATAGAGAGGCCAGTAAGGTAGCAAAGTCAAAGAAGAGTGGCGCGGGAAAGGATGATATATACAGACCTCAATTAATTTGGTTTTCTGTAGCTGACCGCTTTTTAAAGCCAGTGATAGAAGGAAGAAACAGTAAAGATAACATGGTAAGTCTTATTATTATTTATTAAATAGTTATTCTTGTTCGCATATTATAAATTATAATAGGTAAATCGTGAACAGAGCTATTTTTATAATATTACTTAAATAAACATACAATATTTACGCAATCATTCTATCTTGCCATGAAACTTATCCTGGTCCGACAAAATAGTCAGCATATCTATCGCGCAGATCTTTTGCATTTCGTGAATAGTTGTTAGAAGATAGCGGTGTCATTAATTCGTCTACTCCTGCCGTAGGAATGCTTCTCCAACTTCCGTTTCTGATTGTCCCTGAACTGAAGTCTTCTCCGTCTACTAATTCGGGAGTATTCATGTATATGAGATTAGTCCGAAGCCAGTTATGCAGCGCACAGGTCGCTTTAATTATAGAATCAGTTTTATCCAATGAAACAGATATAGGTTTTCTGTATACTCTGAATCGTGAAGCCATTATGCCAAAGGCATTCTCTACGATTCGGCGTGCTCTTGATAGTCTGTAATTAAAGATTTTTTGTTTGTGTTCCAAACCTTCATGTCTTGAATACGGTTTCATTAAATAGGTTGCCAAAGGGAAAGCATCATCACCAACGGAAACTGCCTTATTAGGTAGTTTTAAATTATTTCTTTCAAGGGCACTATAGAACTTTGTTTTTTTCCAAATATGCGAATCATTCATGCGTCCATTAGTTCCGAAATCTATATATATGAAACGGTAATGTGCATCCACTATAGCAAACAACACCACACTATAAGTGCCTTTGTAATTATAATAGTCTGATGCTCCGTGTGGTGGATTTTCGATTAATACGTGTTTCCCGTCAATAGCCCCACAGCAAAAAGGAAATTGCCAGCGATCTAAAAAATCCTTTTGAATTTTCTTCCATTGATCTGTGGTGGATGGCACCTAAAAGAAATAAACTTATATTAGTGTATGGTTACAGGGAAAAGATTCAGCGGTGAACACAAACAGCGACGTGTCTTCATATTTTGATGAATTGGAACAAGAAGATAATATTGCGCCCTTACAAAAGAAAAAAAAATTGTCTCCAAAGAAAAAGGCGGAGCGTGCTCTAATGTACGCACCTAAAATGGACCCACCTGTTTTACAAGAAGTTAATAGATTAGAAACTTTGGCTCAAACTATCCGTCAAGATGAATTTGATACATTCGGAGTACATGTGGCAAGCCAATTACGTAGTTTGCCATTAAGAAATGCTATTGTTTGTCAAAATTTCATCAATAATTATTTGTCACAAGAAAGACTGAAAACCTTAAATACACAACATTTTCCAATTGCTAGACCTACGAGTTCACTCTCAGAGTATACACGCTATACTTCGACTCCAGAAGCCGAAGCTACTACTTCCCGAAACCAAGCTTTTCAAAACCAGCGTGAAACTTCGACTCCCGAAGCTTCCACTTCTAGAAGGCACCTCGATTATGAAGAAGACTATTTTGCCAGCTGTTTACTTACACAAGAAAATACTGGGCAACAATACGGAGTGAACGACGATATTCTATCTCAAGCTGTTAGGTCATGCTTAGATGAAAACACAATGGAAAATTTATAAATAAATCGTTTATAATTAATTACTAGTTTCACTTACCATAATGAACTCCTGTAAAACATTGTATATAGCATCCAAAACATCCTTCAAAAACAAGGAAATTGTGCATTCTGGAACTCTAAATGACTCTGCAAGACTTGAATAGTTATCACCGGTGGCCAAGAACTTCAGAGTTATTTGTAATTTAATTTTCGGAGAAAGTGCTACTCGCATATTGGTATCGCATTTTTGTATAAGCGGAGTAACCTTATGTAGTAAAGTATTAAACTGATCAGTAGTCATTCTTAATCGTTTTTTAAAATAATCAGGATCTTCTAAACTCCACTCAACCAATAAAGTATCCGAAGCACCCAAGTCCTTACGTCGAGAAATCCATCCACGTACCCAAACATTACGTTTTCTTCTTTCCTTTTGTTTTTTCTTCACTCTTTGTTCTTTAAGCAATTGTTGAATAATTGAATAATTAATTATTTCAATTCCGGCACAAATGGCTATTCTGCTCAACATTTTCGATGGAAATGACAGAGCCGCATGCGATTTTAGTAACCAGTGTAAATGGGCTAGCGATGCGGCTTGGTGAGGCAATTAGTGAAGCGACTCGCCGCACGGCGAAAATCGACCCGTGTAAACCCCCCTTAAGTTGCTTTTTCATCTAAGTGTTCACAGGAAAAGAGTAGAAGAAGACACCGAATCAATTGAAAAGATGATAAATACATTTGGACAGCAATCTCAACGACTTCAGTTTTTATTCAAACAATAATTCAATAAAAAAAATATAATTTTCTGGTTTTTTTTTACAGTAGGGGGGTGCAAGTGCATCCCTTGCACCGTGCTGCCGGTGCCCATGCCAAACTAATTTGTTGGTCAATGTACATATTTATTTAAAACAACGTAAAAAAAAATATTTTTCAAACAATTGCCTATATCTATGTCATTTCTGTTTAATATGTTTAGTTGTTTATGATGTCCTTTAATCTTCTTTCATTATTTGTGTGTTTGAAACATTGAATTTATCATTAAACCTTTCCAATGTTCTGCTTCTTTTTTCAGTCTATAGATAAAGTCAAAAAGGTTAGGGCGTTTAGGTATGCGACTATTAAGACGATTATGCCAACCCTCTATGGCATTGCCCGGCGCAGCTCAACAAATTTGGCGACTGCTGTGGGTACCATTCTTTTTCAAAGTACAGTCTAAATGTTCGGATTTTCAGAGTATCAGGTACTGGTTGCAGAATGTATTGCCAAGCGGCTGAAATGAAATAAAACTCGTTGAAGTTATTCGTTTTCTACAATGACCCAGGTTACAATGGAACCTCAACTCAAATTATGTCTAACGTTATAAAATTTACAATATACTTACATGGAATTTTATAGGCTGGTATTAAATGCATAAGCGCACACACTGTGGTTACATTGCGGCCTTCTTTTGTATCGTTAAGTTTGTTTTTTTCAAATATCACCAAATAGCATCGTTAAAGTGATGACGGCAACCACTTATTTCTGCCTCAGGGAAAACAGCATTCGTTTGCGCTTTCTCATAATCACTTTTAAAGAATTTTATATTTATACCTATCTTTTCTTTCAATAGTGAAAAAAGGCGTAAATACGTTTGTTCCGTTTGTTTGGTAGCAACGCGTATATAACGGGAACTATATTTGTTGCTTGTTTAGTAGAACATAGATCAATATGCAGCACATATAATTGGTAAAAAGGTTTGGGAGCAGCTTTGAATGTTCCACCGGCAAAATAATGTAGGCTGGGCTTTTTAAGAATTTCTTCGCAGCATTAGTGGTGAAAATCGAAATTTTTGCTTCGTTTCCATCTTCACATACTAAAAACCTTTCCGCCAATGCATGGGGTATGTTTATATTTTCGGTCAAATTTTAATTCAAAAATCTAGTGTTTAAAAACTTTTTTCGAGCCCTATACAATAAATGCTTAACAGATCTGTATGTTAGTAAGGATTTCGCTCCTAATTCTTCAATTTTTTTTTTTTTCAAAAATTTTCTCTACAGGACCCAAATCATCACACGCCGCCTTTTTTAAAGATTCTTTGATTTGGTCTAAATCAATTCTTTCTCTGTTTGGTTTGCAAGAATGTTGTGTTTCTCTTATTAGGAATTTCCTCAACTGTGAAAGCAGTCTCATGGAGAAATGTCAACATATTTGGGTAGAACCTTTAAATTGATGCAAAATCAACAACATCCAACATTAAACCGCATTTGAAAATACAGGTAAGTAGCAAAAACAGCATTATCCTAAGTGATTGACGCAAAAGCAGCATTATCCTTTTTGACCAATCAGGTGCCGCTAAGTGGACGCCACCAATATGGCGATTTCCTCCATTTTTTCATCGCGTGTGTTTATGTTTGTGCTTCGTTTTTAAATAAAAACTGAATAAAATAGTTCAAAAACATATATAAAGCAAATATGGAATCTTTTCCTAGTCCCTGCGATAAAGGGAAAGGTCGAAAAAGAAAAGGGGATCCTGAAAAATGGAAGAGAAACCAAGCCAAGAAAGAGCGGTAAGTTGTAGTGTGATTAACTGAACTTGATTCTTGAAATTATTAAAAACGTCAGTTTACCCTATTAATCTTCGATATATTTTTTACATTTGCATTAGCTAGATATTTCTTAGAATTTGCATAAGTATAATAATATAATTTTCTAGAGTAGGTATATCTAGAAATATTTTTTTGAAGTTTTGATTGTTTTTAATCTTTTTTCAATTGGCTGAATAGTGACCCATCTAAGCACTTATTATTTTTGCATTTGTTTTCATTAATAGTAGATATTGTCTGATACATTGATGTTTAGAAATGCACAATCAATTGGTGTTGAGTTGACGTTCTGTAAAGGTTATGTAATTGTAACTTACACTGAATAAAATCTATTTTGACTTTTGAATAATAAATAATTACTTATAATTGGTTATTTTGCTTCAGGTATTCTGCAAAAACATTGCCCAAAAGATTGTTGTGTAATCATAAAAAATCTTTTAAATGTATGTCATTGAAAATGAGCGATATTAAATTGTTTTTTGACAACTTTTACGCACAACCTGATAAATTAAAACAGGACGCTATTATTTTAAAACAGTGCGTTCCTAAAAAAGTAAGACGTCGGCGTTCTACTATAAATAAATATTCAGAGCAAAAATTCCAGACAAAATATTACATTTACAGCAAACCAGAGAAAAAGAACGTCCAAGTATGTCAAAAATTTTTTTTGACGATATTGCAAATAAAGAAGTATAGAGTGTAGAATGTTATGAAAGAATATTTTAATACAGGAAAACTTGTAACGGAGAAGAGAGGAGGCGACCATGTGTCAATGAAAAGTGCCCATAAAAAAGAGGCTGTCATGAAATTTATCAACTCAATTCCATGTCAAGAGCCTCACTACTGTCGTGGTCATACAAAACGTTATTATTTGGCATCTGAATTGTCTATTAATAAACTATGGAAGCAGTACAATTTACAAGCAACTCCTGATTTTAAAGTGAAAAAGGGAGCCCAAGGACAGACGTTTGTGCAACGTGTCTCAAATTTTCATCCGAATCGAAACGTGAAAAAGATGCTGACGCTCTAAACAAACTCATGATAAGCCAACGATTGCACAAATTGCGAGCTAAGGCATTTTTCGACAAACTTAAAGAAGAAGATCCAAAACTGAAGATATTTTCTTTTGACTGCGAAAAAAATCTGAATTTACTTAAAGTTCCTGACCAAATTGCATATTATCTAAGAAATATTTACTTATACAACTTCACAATAGTGGAGGGCACTTCTAAAAGCAAACTGACCCAAGACAATGTTCACGCATATTGTTGGACAGAGAACACTTTCCCCAAAGCCGCTAATGAAATTGCGTCGGCTGTTTACCACCGTTTAAAAAATAGTGATCTATCGTCATGTGAGACTATAAGACTGGTAGCAGATGGATGTGCTGGCCAGAATAAGAATACGATTTTATTGGCAATGCTATCAAAATGGATGACCGAAGCACCACAAAATATAAAACAAATAGAGCTGGTTTTCCCTGTAGTTGGACATTCCTACATACCACCAGACAGAGTTTTTGCTAGGATTGAGAAAGAAGTACGTCAGCACGAAGTACTTAATAATCCTCAAAAGTATCTAGAAATTATTTCTAAATTTAGTACTGTACATAACCTGGGAACGGCTTCTTGTGAAGTTTTTGATTGGAAAACTGCTTCACAGTATGTAATGAAACCCGTTGGTAGTTGGCACTTCCAATTTAAAAAATGTAAAAGGTATATTTAAAAAAAAACGGTGGTGTTTTAAGTACGGTGATTGTTATGACATATTTTATCCATAAATGGAACTAAAAATGTTACAAAGCAAAAACATGACATGTAAATAAAAAAAATCTTCTGTACGGTTTTCATTGAAAGTGGATATTGCTGCCTTTGCTTCTATATGACTCAATTGTAACAGAAGCACTGCAATTTTTTCTATTCACACACCTCCAGTGAGTGCTACCGCTGTTATTTGTCACATTTTGCGCTCGTTCAGACACGGCGGGAACCGCGCGATTATAGAATCGCATGGAAATCGCGCGGGTCTTATTTATATGAATTAGTTAGTAATCGTTCAGACATAACCGCGCGGTTAATCAAGCCGCGCGGTTACCGCAACCCAACCGCCAGAAAATAGAATCGCGCTGCTCCCGCGCGTTTTTATTACTATGGAGTCTTTACTTCGCGTTCAGTTGCGTTGCGGATACCGCGCGGTGAGCACGTCACTGCTCGTGAGTTCGCCATGGATCGTTTCGACACTGAACTATTTATTGATGAGGTGGAGAAGAGACCTGCAATATGGGACATTCAGTGTGATGATTACTCAAATAAAATTATCAAGAACCGAGCTTGGCAAGAGTTGGTGGAGATATTCGGAAATTGCGAAGACACTGTGGAAAAAAAGAATATTTTAAGTAAGTAGGTTTATTCACCAAAAGAATTGACAGAATTATGTTATAATTATTGTTACGAAGCGTATATTATACTCTCCGTATACTTTAGGTACTTAAATAAATATAAACAAACTTCGGCTGCTTCAGGCATTTCGAGCATTTTTCAAATGAAGGAGTATATTTCGTTTGTTTACATTTAGTCATGTACCTAAACATTACAAGTACGGTATGTTAGTTGCAGCTATATCTTTTTGTCTTGCCATGGCACACGCCCATCGTTCACAAAGTAATGAGCGAATTTATCTCTGATATTCAAAGATGACGGTGTCCCTCTTCCCGCATGCAAGGTATTGAGATTAGTCATGGGTGCATTATATAAAGTATCTTTAAATTTTAGACCATCTCTAGTCCGCACATAGTTATGTAGAACACAAGAGGCTTTTATTATGTCTTCGGCAAAATCTATGTTTACATTTATAGGTCTATGAAAGATGCGCCATTTGTTCGCCAAAATACCAAAAGTGCACTCAATATTACGTCGGGCTCTCGATAACCTATAGTTAAAAATCCTTTTTTCATATGGTAAACATTTGCCTGAATATGGGCGCATTAAATTTTCTGCTAAGCCGAAGGCTTCATCTCCAACTATAACATAAGGCATTGGTGTTAGGTGTACATTAGATATTGGTTTAGGTGTTGGTATGTTTAATGATTTTTCTGTCAGGCGTTTATAAAACACCGAATTTTTAAATATAGCAGAATCACTGCTTTTGCCATAAGCTCCAATATCAACATAAGTAAAGCAATAGTTGGCGTCGCAAAGTGCTAAGAGCACTATGGAAAAGAAATGTTTATAGTTATGATACAAAGAACCCGAATCAACAGGCTTTATAACTCTGATATGCTTGCCGTCTATAGCACCAATGCAATTTGGAAAATTTGCATATCTCTCAAAGTCTCGTGCTATTGCCTTCCAGATATCTTCAGTCGCTTCTGGCATAACTATGTTTACCAACTTATTCCACAATGATTTACATACTTCGCGGACAATTCCAGTAATCGTCGATTTTCCTAGACGATAATTGTAGCTTAGTTCTCCAAATGAACAACCCGTACCAAGATATCTGAAACAAGAATATTATTAATAATGTTATTATTTTTAGGTACACAACTCCAAAAAAAATGGAAAAACATACGAGATTGCTACAATAAAGAATACAAAAAAGGAAAAACAACTCCTTCTGGTTCAAGTGCTCGTAAAGGAGCCCAATATATGTATTTTGCAAGATTATCTTTCCTGCAGAATAGTGTAAGTAATAAAGACACTACAACTAATATTGAAGAACAGAATGAAAGGCAAAGTGAGGAGACAAGTCAACTAAACGCCAATGTAACCGAAGCCACTGAAATACGTCCCCCTAAACGTAAGAAAACACAAGTGCCAGAAGAAAAAATAGCTGTTTTAATAGAAAAAAGTATCGAGTCACGAAAACATTTTGAGAATGAACTTCAAGAAAATAGTATTACCAAGCAAGATGACGACAAACTCTTTTGTTTGTCGTTATATAAAGAACTCAAAAAAGTACCAGAAAATAGGCGTTTAGCAACCAAAATTGAATTGCTTCAAGTGATACAAAAAGGACAAATCTTACCACCCCCTGTTCGCTACAATAATCAGCAGATCACACCTACGTATTGGCAAGGACAACAGTATACAAGCCCGCAAGGATATTTTACTACATCTGGATCATCTCCTCCTGTTCCGGCACCGTCACCGTCACCATCGCAATTTAGTTCTGGCTCTCAGTCCTCTACAGTTATAGAAAATATTTATGCTGATTTTGAAGAACAATAAATAAATCTTACCTTAAAGTTATTACGAGTTTCTCTTCCGGTGACACGCTTGGCCTCAAATGCGTTTCAGAGCATGAAACATCTTGCCTGATCAGTTCAATTAGTTCATCAAAAGATTTTATTGACATTCTCAAATAGTTAAAAAATTTGTTATCATACATTCTTAACCCTCTATTGCATACAGAGCCATTTTTGGCTGCTAAACTTTAGTAATTTTTTTCTACCCTAATTATAAACAAAAATTTCAAAATTTATCACAGTAATATTAGGGAGTTCAAACTCAAACGAAAGGCAATTTTTATTGTCTATGGCCAAAGTCGTATGTCATTATACCCTCACTTTTTTCCGGTGCGTACGCAAAGTCGTTCTTAGTGAAATTTACTGCAAATTTATTAGTGAAAATTAAATAGAAAAGGTAAGAATATTGATATTCAAAAATATAAATAATGTTCTACAAAGCCTCTGTTTTTGATGCCTCTTACACTTTATTCAAAATATTTGTTCTTTATACTTAATTTTCATTATTTTCTACGGGAGCCATTTTTGGCTTCGTATGCATTATGATAAAGTAAATTTGAGCCTAAAATGGCTTCGCATGCATTCAGAGATGCATTTTTAACGTAAACAACGAAAAATCTCTGCAAAAGTGCAAGAGCTACCTCTAAATTCAGTACGTTCAGACAAAATTGACCATTTTCCGATTCATCAAAGGACTCGTCAATTATGTCAGAATGATTGTTCTTTGCGTTCCCATATAAAATGTGAGAAATGTAATGTTTTTCTATGCTTGAATGAGAAAAGAAACTGTTTTAGAACTGTTTGGCTTCTGTTTTTTTTTTCCAAAATAATAAACTTATTTTTCTTTTCACTTTATATTTTGTCTTATAAGCCATAATAAAGCACATTAAAACATAAAAATATTTTTTTTCTATTAAATTTAATAATTCATGCAATAGAGGGTTAATTTGGGATATAACGTTACGAACTGACCATGTACTAGTCGGTCACGTAATATTGGATGCACCCAATACCGCCTCTTTCTTTTCTTTTTTTTAAGGAGCAACAACCACAGTAAACACACTTCTTCGTCGACCTCCATTTTGAAACTGACGCTACACGCACGAAATCGCATACTAACCGCGCGTGTCTGAATAGCATCTGAATTTTGCGGTTACAAACCGCGCGATTCGTAAACGCACGATTCCCGCATGTCTGAACGAGCGCTTTTAGTATGAATAAACCCATCACGAATCAACATGCATTTACATTTTTGAGTATCAACGAACTCAAACTGTTTACTCATTTTTTTATTTAATATTACACATTAAACATTCACACTTTATAGAAACACGATTAAAATAAAACAGTAGGTAATGATTTCACGGGTGAATAATTCAGATGTCAAACGCCAAATATTATTCTCATGTTTAATCGAATACTACCCTCATTATTGTTAACATTTACTCTCCGATCTACGTTACATTTTATGGTAATATTTTGTGTATTTAAATTAGCTAATACACGATTCAAAATTAATCGCCATCTATTAAAATATCTGTGAACTTGAATGAAGTGATTGTTTTTTTTTTTTCTATGATTGGTAATTTATTTATGACATGTTAACACAATAAATATAAAGAAAATCTTACAACAATGTACATAATGACGTCGTTATAAGCTGATTAATAAAGTAAATCATATTTTTACGTTGCTTTAAATCGTTTCACATAAACATATACATTGACCAATAAATTAGTTTATGACAGGATAACACAATAAATAAATAAAGGTTTTTTTTTAAT